CTAAAACAACATCAACCGATACCTTCATGTGGCCATCCGGGAGCGGTCTATGGTGAATTAAATCTCCCGAGGTGTTGTGCACTTTTCCCTTGCCAACTACCCGATATGTCGGAGAAGCTAGATACAGCTGACAACATGAAATGCCCTAAACCAATAATAACCGTTAGACTTCCTTTAATGTTGACAATAATAACCGTTATAATTATACTTTCTCTAAATATAATGGATTATCATCTTAATTACCTCGGGAAAATTTTGTTGACGGTTGATACTAGCCTTGTCACTAGTTTCTTTCAACTGTGAACTGCTCCTTTCGGCCATATACCTCTCTTTGTCCCTCTGCAGTTCACGGACTTGTGCTTGTAAATCCTGCAATGTTTGCATCACTTCCGCATTGCTAGGATTTCTTTTTCTTGGATTGTTATACAGAGAGGTAGGAGTCACACCATGGCCTTTACCCCTCACTCGTCCCGGATACTCAGCAACACATAGTGCTCGACTGAGTACGCTCCTGATATTCGAGTCATCACCCGAGGATACCGATTGCGATATAGTCTCCTGTAATTCATTTAAATATCGATAATTAAAGACACAACGTTAATTATATATTAATTAAATACATAATGGTATACTTACACACTCATCATAAATATGTTGCAGATCGGGGTTAACAACTTTATCTCTGCCAAGACGAGCTTCCTTCCACAGCACATGTGCAGGTAGTGATGTTTCGTCACTCTGCGTCTCCTCCAACTACGCATTGTTACAAATAATAAAATCATCAATACACATTGTTACAAATTAATAATACACATTGAGATAATTAATAAGATCGTAGAATTGAGATTTACTTACAATTTTTTCCTGTAAGCGTGCATATCCCAAACGACCTTTTTTATATGGATATGCGGGTTTTGACGCTCTATCCCGATTTATAACACTCACTTTCTTGAAATTATCGTCTTTTCTTTGGCCCACAAAAGCAACCCATTCTTCGGGTGTAATGAAGCTCTCATATTTTTTTGGTCGTTCAGGTTCCTCTTCAACAAAATTTCCTTCATCGTCTTTAAGAAACTTATTTGTCAAAAAATTTCTCCACCCTCTATGTCTTTTTCCGGCCAAGCCCATTATATACTTTTTGCGGGCATCTTCAATGTTAAAAGACCTCTACAAAAAAACATACGCATAGAGGGTGTTAGTATATGTAATTTAAAAACAATATTTTCGTCAAAATAAAGCAAATAACAACAACCATATATGATACCTTTATCTCGGTCCAAATTCTTTCTTTAGCATCCAACTCTCCTTTTTTCCAGCTAGTAGTGGTGATCGGAATGTGCATACGAACAAGCGTACCGATGTAGCTTGTCAGCTTTGCAGAATTAGGCCCAATTAGTTGGTCATCATTATTCCAATCTACATTATACGTAATACCTCTATCTCTATCACGGATGATTCCCCGCATGATAGTTATGCCTCGTGTGATGTCCTTATCTGAAGTGTCTTGTGGAACATTATCTTGTGGAACATCTCCTTGAGGAACATTTTCTGAATTATCTTGTGGAACATCTCCTTGTGGAACATCGTGATACATTTTCTGTCAAAACGCAAAGTATACATGGAATGAATTAAATAGAATGTTATTCAATATTTCGGACAATGGATTAAATAGAATGAAAAGATGGATACTATTAAATTTATGATTAAATAGTTTCGAACTGATAAAGAATGAAAAAGAAATATACCTACATCAAAACATAAATAAAACAATCCTAAATATTTCAAAAAACTAAGATGTCAGATAACAAATTTTCAGTCAAAACGCAAAGTATACACGGAATGAATCCGTATCAAGAAAATGCAACATACGAAAGACAATTTAAGACAAATTCATCACAATATATACCAGTAATTTGAGGAAGAAAGTTACCTCTCAGATGTTTCAAACTCTAAGAAACGTGGAGAATGAGCGTCGTACGTCGAACTAGGCCGGGAAACGCTGCAAATTCATAGAATGTTATTCAATATTTCAGACAATGGATTAAATAGAATGAAAAGATGGATACTATTAAATTTATGATTAAATAGTTACGAACTGATAAAGAATGAAAAAGAAATATACCTACATCAAAACATAAATAAAACAATCCTAAATATTTCAAAAAACTAAGATGTCAGATAACAAATTTTCAGTCAAAACGCAAAGTATACACGGAATGAATCCGTATCAAGAAAATGTAACATACGAAAGACAATTTAAGACAAATTCATCACAATATATACCAGTAATTTGAGGAAGAAAGTTACCTCTCAGATGTTTCGAACTCTAAGAAACGCGGAGAATGAGCGTCGTACGTCGAAACATAAATAAAATTCCATAAAGCAAAGATGTCAGATAACAAATATTTCATAAAATTCCATAAAGCAAAAAAATGTAATGACGTATATTTAAATTTTACTGGATGATATAGGCTATATATATTATACTATAATGAAAAAAATGAAATGATATAGGCAATATATATTATACTATAATGAAAAAAATGAAATGATATAGGCTATATATAATACTATAATGAAAAAAATGAAATGATATAGGCTATATATATTATACTATAATGAAAAAAATGAAATGGCATATATATACATTTTATTGAATGACATTGTCTATAATTATATATACTATTACCTTTTTCACTAACATCTCTTTCTTTTCTTGGTAGGAATATGTTCTACTCGTCTCGTAACAACGCGGACGGTTGGATTGGTCCAAATACCCTCATTATGATCATTTCTAATGCATGATTCATTATCATTTTGATCATTTCTGGTAAAAGATTCAATGTCAACACCAGTATCGCCTTGGTCTCCAATCTTTTCATCAATTACTTTGTTAGAGAAAAGCACTATAGACCATTTCGTACTTGTCGGATCAGCGACATAGAACACTTGTTTAGCTTGAGAGGCTAGAATGAAAGGCTCATCTTTGTACCCCGCCCTGTTAAGATCAACTTGCAAAAATCCTGACTTATCCATCCGTATACCATTATTATTTTCAACCCACTTGCAACCGAATATAGGAATCTGAAATTTCTCGTAATCAAAGACCCAAATGCGCTCGATAACCCCAAAATACGACAGATTTGCAAATTTCGGGTTTAAGTCCTTCACACTAGATATGTGCATTGCTTCAGCTACCAAGGTAACACCACTATTTTGCACAGTACTTTTATCATCTTGTTCTTTGGTATAAAATGTGTATCCATTAATTGCGTATGTGCTATAAGAAAACGCAACCAAACTTGGACCATATGCTAAACATCTCAACCTTTCTGTCACTGAGGCGGGATCTGAACGATACTTTGAATAAATATGTTCCTTAAACCATGGTATGAAACTTCGATTGTGCTCTCGTACAATCCAATTCTCATTTCTATTCGAATTTAAACCTCGAAGAACACCCTTGTGTATATCGACATACGGCTCAACCTCAATCTCATTGTGCAAAACATACAAATGCACTTGATCCCGTTCGACCCTTGATACTGTCACAACTTTATTTCCAATTAGCTTCTTACCTTCTTTTTTTTCAACAACATGAGATTTGGGGAGTCCAATTGACTGAACATTTGATAGATATTCAGTACAAAACTCAACCGCTTCTTCAACAATGTATCTTTCGGCAATACAACCCTCTGGTCGACTCCGATTTTTCACATACCCTTTTAATATTTTCATATAACGTTCAGCAGGGTACATCCATCTCATATAAGCTGGTCCGCACAATTGTGTCTCTTTCACAAGATGAACGACAAGATGGACCATTATGTCAAAAAACGAGGGAGGAAAATACATTTCAAGCTCACACAAAGTAACAACTATTTCTTTTTGCAATGTCGGCAAGATCTCAGGATCGATCACCTTACTGCAAATTGACTTGAAGAAAAAACACAATTTAGTTATTGCGCTTCTTACCTTTTCTGGCAGAATAGAACGTATACCTATCGGTAGAAAATGTTCCATTATAACATGGCAATCATGCGTCTTTAAACTCTTTAACTTGAGGTCTTTCATAGACACAAGTCTTCTAATATCTGATGAGTAGCCTTCTGGAACTTTAACTTCACTCAGAAACTTACACAATATTTTTTTCTCCTTTCTAGATAGAGTGTAAACCGCAGGTGGTAGGTATGTCCGTCTTCCTTTCTTCACGGGTCCCAGTTCAGTTCTTATTCCCATGTCTACCAAGTCCTCCCTTGATTTAAGGCCATCCTTAGACTTCCCTTTTATATTGAGTAACGTACCAATAACACTGTCAAATACATTTTTTTCAATATGCATCACATCAAGAAAATGTCTTACGTACAAAGATTTCCAATATGGCAATTCAAAAAAAATCGACCTCTTCTTCCACCCACCTGTGACAACTTTATATGCAAAAGGCTTGCCAAACTGAATATTCACATCTTTCACCTTTTCAAAAATTTGTTCACCTGTCAAACCAGGCGGAGCTCTACGTTGTTCGGTATCTCCGTTGAACGCTTTTCTCCATCCACGATACTGATGTTTAGAAGTTAAGAATCTACGATGACCGAGAAAGACATTCTTCTGAAAAAGTTTCAATCGCATGGTATCGGTTCCGTCTTCACAAACAGGACACGCTTTTTCACCTTTAATGCTATACCCGGATAGATTGCCGTATGCTGGAAAATCGTTAATTGTTCCAAATAACATCGCCCTCAAGTTGAAACTTTCTTTCCTATAACCATCATAGACCTCCACACCGTTCTCCCACAAAATCTTCAAATCTTCGATTAATGGTTCCAAGTATACGTCTATGTCATTTCCTGGTTGTTTAGGCCCAGAAATTAACATAGACAGCATCATTTACTTACGCTTCATACATAGCCATGGAGGTAGGTTATAAATCATAAGAATCACAGGCCATGTGCTATGCGAGATACTTTGAATATCGTGTGGGTTCATTCCATCAGTAGACAATGCCAAGCGAAGGTTTCTTGCTTCTTTTCCAAATTCAGGATAATCATTATCAATTTTCATCCACTGTGGAGAATCTGCCGGATGTCGAAATTTTCCATCAATAATTCTTTCATCTGAATGCCAAGTCAATTGTCTTGAATCGGTTTCACTATGATACATCCGTCTAAATCTCGGGATTATAGGAAAATACCATAAGACTTTTGCCGGAGACAACTTTTTCTTATATCGAGGGGCACCGCATTTAGGACACTCATTTAACGATGCATACTCGTTTCGAAACAAAACGCAATCTTTTGGACACGCATGTATCTTATCATAGCTCATGCCAATGGAGTACAACATCTTTTTGGCCTCACACGTTCGATTGGGAAGAACATTATCCTCTGGTAGCATATCTTTCATAAGGGCTAATAACTCTGTGAAACTTTTATCCGAACATCCATTGCCGGCTTTTAAGTTGTACAACTTTAACACCGCAGACAATCTTGTGAATTTTGTACAACCATTATACAACGGTTTCTCTGCATCGCTTACCAACCTCTCGAACATTTTGGGACAATCGTTAAGATCTTCTTCAAGCGCTTCTGCAATTTCTTCGACTCGATCATAATCGTATGTATCTGTGCAATCATCATTTGAAACATAGGTCCTTGCATACCCCGATTCAACATTCTCGTTACTTTTCTCACCATGCATATTCCAACATGTATAACTACTATCAATTCCATACCGAATTAAATGCGATGCCAACTGAACTGCATCAACCTGGTTCCCATAACAGCAATACAAACAAGGACATGTCATACGACTGGGGTCTTTGGCGTGCGCAACAGCAAACTTAACAAACTCGGAAACACCATTCTCGTAGTCTTTCGACAATCGATTGGAATACATCCATGTCTTATCCATATCAACTAATTAGTGCACAAAACAGTAGTATACTGCATTTCTGTCAAAACGCAAAGTATACACGGAATGAATCCGTATCAAGAAAATGCAACATACGAAAGACAATTTAAGACAAATTCATCACAATATATACCAGTAATTTGAGGAAGAAAGTTACCTCTCAGATGTTTCGAACTCTAAGAAACGCGGAGAATGAGCGTCGTACGTCGAACTAGGCCGGGAAACGCTGCAATTTCATAGAATGTTATTCAATATTTCGGATCGATTGTCGAAAGATATATACTATTTTAACATAAAGGTTCACAATAAATGTCACATATATATTTTCAATGTTTGGGAAAGCTATGACAATAATACAACACAAATATTAGAAATAGTGAATTCACAAAGTCAACATAAGGTTGATGCGATGAACTGATACTATTAAATAAATGCTTCACACGATTCACCATATTTTTAGTAACAAGTTCATATATCACATTGCATATGGAAATAGGATGAAATGGTTTAAGATACTCAGACTAGAAATGGGGCAGCATTGTTATCATAACACAAGTTAATCGGAAGTTGCTAACGAAAACAAGAAAATTAAGCATTGTTATATTTGTAAGATTTGATCATAATTATATATGTTACTTTACACAGAATTACAGCAAACCAAGGTTTCTATTTGCTTGGTTTAGAGAACACAACTCCAACTTTTGCATCAGCAATACAAAATTCTGTCCCTGCCATAACATTTCTCATGGCTGTCATATTAAGGTAACCTAGCCCTTAACTAAATACTGTTACTATGTAACACATTAAAACATTAGTTAATTCTGATAAAAATTACACATGCAAAATTTCATCCACAGGATAGAGCAAGTGAGATTGAATAGAAAAGATGGATTAGCTAAAGTTGCAGGAACAATATTCTGTGTAATTGGTGCAACAGTGATTACATTATACAAAGGTCCAACAATATATACTCCAAGTAATCACCTAAATAGTACTGCAACATTGATAACAGAAGTAACAACAACACCGATGGTTGATTTTGGAACATGGTCTTTGGGTGATGCCAAGGGGAAAAACTAGACACTTGGTTGTGTTTATCTTATTGGACATTGTTTGTCTTGGTCTGCTTGGCTTGTGTTTCAAGCGCCTATTCTTAAGAAGTATCCTGCTCGTCTTTCTGTCACTTCTTATACGTGTTTCTTTGGTCTCTTGCAATTTCTTGTTATTGCTTTGGTTTGTGAAAGAAATTCTCAAGCTTGGCTATTTCACTCGGGTGGTGAAGCTTTCACTATTCTATACGCCGTAAGTTATCACCTGCTCTATTAGGTTTAAATGCAGTTTTGATCGTCTAACTTTTGCATATGAAAATATATTACACTAGTCAGAATTTAAAAATGTATTAATTATTTGCAGGGAGTGGTGGCATCTGGAATTGCTTTTGCAGTACAAATATGGTGTATTGATAGAGGAGGTCCAGTGTTTGTTGCTGTTTATCAACCTGTTCAAACTTTTGTTGTTGCTATTATGGCTTCTATTGCTTTAGGAGAAGAGTTCTACTTGGGAGGGTTAGTCCTAATCCTAATTAAATACCTTAATATAAATGTTTATCATTAAATTATACATATCAGATACATAATTTATCATAAACACTCAAACTATACATGCACCATTTTTCATCTTATATATATTGAGCGAAATTATTTGAGATTTTCATATATAGTTTAGAGTTATTATGATGAGATGCAAGTGGCAGTGGCACACATAACTTGTTAAAATTTGAATTGGTTACAACAGTGTGCTAAGCATTAACTAAGCATGAAGTTTTTTTTGTATAGGCAAAGGAATTCTATAACTATAATGAGTATAAGGGGTACTTCAACAAGAATTCACAAGAAATGCCTCTGCTATCCACACCACGACTCCACAAGAATTCACGTTGAATCCTAACCAATTCCTTCAACACAATTTTAGTAATCTTATAGAAAGATAAGAAATACATTGGAATAGAATTCAGGACAGAATTTACTAAAGTAACTCTGCCACCAATAGATAAAAAACGACCCTTCCAAACCGAGACTTCAACTCCAATTGTCCAGCTTCTGAACAACGGAAATTTAGTGATCAGAGATGAGAAAGACAGTTCAGCTGATGAAGATAGTTTCTTGTGGCAGAGCTTTGACTATCCTACTGATACATTATTACCAGAAATGAAGAATGGATGGGACAAGAAAACTGGTATTCTTAGAATATTTACTGCATGGAAAAACTGGGACGATCCATCTTCAGGTGACTTTACTGCATCCATGAGACTTACGAACAATCCTGAAACGGCTATTTGGAAGGGCTCGACTGAGTTCTATAGATCAGGGCCTCTGACTGGTGGTACGTCTAGTGGAGCTTATGAGATGAAGGTTAACCCACTTACTAATTTAGAGCTTGTAAACAATGAAGAGCAAGTGTATTATATGTACACCCTAAAGAACAAATCTGTGATTTCCATAATTGTTTTATCATGCATAAGCCAATCTGTGATTTCCAAATCTAATAATTAATTCTATGGTTAACTGGAACTAAACCTTGGCCGTGGAAGCAACATTTACTCATAATCAATGGTTAACAAGATGTAGGTTTTTGTTTAATATAAGATGAACAGATAATGGAAGAAGATAATGGAAGAAGAAGAAACTTACCAAGATGGAGAAGACGGAACGAACGGCGGCGACGACTGAAGAAGACGGAACGAACAGCGGCGGCGACGAAGACGGCAGAATGAAGAAGACGAAGAAATGAAGAAGACTGAACGAACGAATCTGAGGGCAAATATCAGATTTGGTGATTTTTAATTTAATTATAAAAACAACCTACGAAAGCGCTTTTAAAAGTGCTTTCGTATGCCCCCCATATGAGAGCGCTTCTGAGGTAAAAAGCGCTTTCGTATGCCCCCCATATAAGAGCGCTTTAGAAAGCGCTTTCGTAGGTCCCCCTTTCAGAGCGCTTTTCAAAAGCGCTTTTATAGGGCCACCTATAAGAGCGCTTTTCAAAAGCGCTTTCGTAGGTTAGATATTTCAAATACCTATGAAAGCGCTTTCTGAAAAGCGCTTTCGTAGGAAACCCTATAAAAGCGCTTTTTTTAAGCGAATTTTTTTTAAAGGCTACGAAAGCGCTTTCTCTTAAAAGCGCTTTCGTAGATGCGCTGCCAAAAATTGTTTTTTTTGTAGTGAGAAACACCAGGAGTACCATGCCAATTTTGCTGAATTTGGTCTCACTCCTTATCAACCTGCTTTTTATATGACCAAAGGCTTCTACATCTGGTGGACTGACTTTTATTCTAACAACATGTTCGATACTGCTCAAATAAGTGAGCATTTAACAAAAGCTTTTTCCCTTGTGCAGGAAAGCGTCCCAAAAGGTAAATTAATGCATACCCAGGAAATCCAGGCTTTCCAGAAGTTATTTGAAACTGTCTATGATCCAACTAATCTTAGTCGAACCGTCTTCCAAGCAGCAGCTACTTTAAAAGAAAAAATTACAAAGAAACTACCACGTTTAAAGATTCCCTCTTCTGTAAAACCTGAACATAGGTATGATTTGGCCTTTGAGCTGCAACCACCAAAATTTCCAAATTTGCCCAGTGCTTATTTTGGCCTAGCGTTCTTTCCACCCTATCCAGATTGGTTTACTTGTGGAAATATTTTCAATGAGTTAAAAATTGACTCCCAAAAACCTGCTAAGAGGATGGTTTCGACTAAGTGCACTCTGGACAGTTTCAAAGGTTTCCTTCACTATGATTTATCAGCAGTCTTTATTGTGTCTCCGACACGTGAAGGTGTGGAACCAAAGGATTTCTTGGTCCTTTTAATTTTTTTAAGGAAATTTTCAACTTTGAGCATTTGGCTAACTTTGATAGTGTTTTCAAGTTGTTGAAAGGAAAACTACAAAGAAAGAAAAACCTGCAGCGAAGACGGATTCAATTACTGCCTCAAAAGCAGGAACTTCTTCCAGCCAAGGAATTTCTTCTGCAAAGGGTGCTTCTCCAGAAAAGGTGGTGAAGATTATAAAGGTACTATTTCTAAGAATCCTTCTTACCTTTTTGCATCTTTTGACCATGACTTTCCTTGCAATTTTCCCCCCTTTATTTTTTATTTTTTTAGGGTAGTTGTTTGACCCCTAAAACACCAAAGAAAAGAAAAGCGTCTAATGAAGAAGCAATTGTTATTCCCGAAGATGATGATGACGATGTCCCCCTCACTCCTTTCAAGGACAAGAAGAAACACAATAAAGCCAAAACGTAAAAGGGTGCTCCATATCAAGCCACCAATCAAAAAGATGTCGAAGTAAAAATCCTTCCTCCTCCTCAACGTGAAGTTCAACCTGCACCTTCTGGGGTTGTAATTTTGGAGCATATTGGCAGAAATCCTTCTAACCCTGATGATCAAAAGGTACATCTTTATTTCAGTCTTTTTACCCTTTTTTCTCAAATATCTTTTGACCTAACAACTCCTTTTTTGTCTGCAGGATAAATCCACTACTCCTCCTATTTCTCCTATCAACCAAGATGCTCCTCTAAATACAGAGACTCCTTCACCTCCTCCCACATCTAGTGGTGCTGTCCAAAATAAAGGGTCTTCGACTGTGATTCCCCAATCTAAAGCAGGTGACGTCTAAGTCGAACAGGATACTTCTTCTCCTAGCGAAGATGACTTGCCAGAATCTGGAAAGCAAATAATGGAGGAGGACGAAGACTCTAAAAGTACTCCTAGTGATTCTTCTCTATAAAGGGCTCAATTTCCTGTAGATTATGTCGAGGACAAAGAGAAATATTTAGATGGGATTAAGACATACTTTTGAGATGATGAGGACATGGAAGAGGTCGACCCACAACCTAAAGACACTCATTCGACACATCCTGATACTACTAATGAACCAAGCACACAATCTCGATCAATTCTACATCCCATTCTGACTCCAACACTTACTGAGGAGGAAAAAATAGCACAAAAGAAGAGTGATCCCCTAAAATATGTGAAGTTGATGATGGCTCTAAGGGATTCTTATTCTGACAAAAGAGCTTCTGGGGATTCGACCCAATCTGGCGCTAGGGCTAATGAAGCTTCTTATGTAGAACTCCTTTAGCAAGTGAAGAAAGATGTGTTCAAAGATGATTTGTTCGAAGTGATGAAAACAGATGTTACTGCTCACTTTGGGATGAAAAAGCTGATTAATCGCATCAACATTACTGCTTGTCCTGCTAATGTAGGTGAGGTCTTGATAGATATTCAAAACCTAATTGACCAAATTTGCGCTGAGTACAACAGGGAAGCTGATGCAACTTCGAAGCTTCAAGTAAAAGAACAAGAGCAAACTGTTGAATTTGACAAAGCTCTCAGTACCTGAGGATTTGTTGGCTTTGAGGAAGGCATCCTAAGCAGAATTCAAAACTTATACCGCTTCAATCACACTTTGGGAATCTCATATTGTGGAGTTACAAAATAAGATAGATGATTCTAAGGTGAAGTAAGCTTCAATCAAAGGATTGGACACCACTGAAGCTGATACTTTGGTTGCACAGAGCGTTGAGCATGTTGAAAGAGCTTCAGCCATGACTGAAGACATTGCACGCCTCAAAAGTATACACGCTGCTGTTCAATATAAGCTTGGCCTAGAAAAGATCAATTATGAAAGGATGAAGAAAAATATCTGTTTTGATTTATGTAATAAACATTTTGCTTTACATTGTAAGCATGCTTAGACAAAGCCATTTTGGTACTTCTGAAGTTAATTTGATCACCATTTTGGCTATGTATATTTTTGCTGCTTACTCTCTTGTTATGATTTTTATTTCTTGTAAAAATGGTTTATACTTATTTAAGTATTTCCCATTTATTCTTAGGATTCTTCGATCTTCATCCAACTCTTCTGTTTCGTAAGCGTTGTTTGAAAATTCCTTTAGGATTCAAAAAGGTCCTTCCCAATGTGGAGACCATTTTCCTATCGCTTTATTCTTTCGATCCATAGGTATTATGACTTTCCATACTAAGTCATTTATAATAAAATTCTTGCCTTTAACCCTCTTATTGTATGCTCTTGCCACTCTTTCCTTTTGTCTTCTTAGTCTTTCTAAGGCATGCAACTTTCTTTCATCCAAATCTACTAACTCATTCATCACCATTTCCCAATAAAGGTCAAAAGGAATTTCCTCTTGCCTTTGAATTCTAAGTGATTGTAAGTAGATTTCGACTGGTAGTACTACATCAAATCCAAACGTAAGTTGGAAAGGTGTGGCATTAGTTGCTTCTTTAGGGGACGTTCGACAAGCCCATAATGCTTGGTCTATAATTTTATGCCAATTTTTAGGTAGCAAAAAGATAACAAGTTTCCCTAGAATTCTGGCATTTCTCCTAGAACGGGTCTCAACTTCTTTTTTAACCGTGGCAATATTCCTAGAATGGGTAAGATGTAGGCTGCCTCAAATAAAGAGACTTCCACTTGCAAAGATTTTACAACTAGCTGTTTCTGCGAATTCAAAAGTCTTGCCCTCCACTGGCGTAAACTGATGACAGACTGTAAACTGTCCACTTATAGAGGAGATAACAAAAAGGTTACGTCGACTTTTACAGGGAAGCACAAGTTGCTCAAATAAAGAGACCCGCTACTTGTTGTCATGGAGGATTGTAAAAAGAAATGAATTTCTGGGGATAGAAATATGGCTTCCTGGGGAAAGAAATATGACTTCCCGGGGAAATGCCATGATATTCTTGTTGAGGAGATAAAGTCTTCTTGTGAAAAATAAATGCACAAACCAAAACTCGAAGCTTTCAGAAATCCAGAGTAAATAATATTGTTGTGGAACCACAGATTTAAACCAGAAATAAACTGGAATGGAACAGTCAACCAAAATACATCCTTTGAGAAATAAACTCAAGAGGGAAAACCAAATCCATCCAAACAAGGAGCTGTATAGGAAGGCTAAAGCAAAAATCTTCCACGAGGGACAACTCAGTGGGGAAATTGAAAGAATATACGCTTTCTGCTTAGGGCCAACACTCTATTGAAGAGAGGACAATGTAAATCTACAAAACAGGGTGATATGTCAACAAAATATTAAAAAATTTCAACGAATAATGATTTTCCGATTTTAGCTATGCATGATGTATGTATGAATGTATGAGCGTTATCATGCGTATGCTGACAAAACAGATACAGAGCCCTGGGAGTAACCAAGAAAAACCAACTTTAGCATAAACAACACTCGGCTAAACCACATCCAGGATGATCATTCCAAGAAAAAGTAAATTCCAACTGAGGAAACAAAACCTACTGCCTGCTTTAGCTTTACTGAGGAGAAACAAAATCCAGAAGTAAACAAATCAAAATGATAAAATAATACAGATACATGGATAGAACATCCTTCTCCAGGCTTCACCGGGGAAACCAACACTTTCAAAAGTAACACTTCTATCGGGGATTGCAAAACCAGTCTCAAGTAAAGCAGATGGACACCAAATCAACAAAACATTCACTGGGGAATTCAGGCCTACTTCATTGGGGAGAT